TTTACGTTAACGAGGAAAAGCGTCGATTCGATTAAATAATAAGTCAATTAAGGCGGACGACGGGGGAACTAATTAATCCGGGGATTCTAGCTCGTTGACCGTGGTGATCGTAGTAATCGACATTCGACACTTATCGGTTTTTATTTCTTTATTACGTACACTTAATCTTTGCGGCAATGATATCGCCGGAAAAAGAAAGGTTTATCTACCGCGGGTGTTGTTTTTCCACCATCAGTCTACCACCATGGCAGAGAAGTGATATCGATAGATAGACCCAGCACCTTTTTTCGCCTCTTTCGCGGGAAAAATCGAGAGGCTGCGCGCCGTGGAGCGGCTGATAAGGACGACTCATTGGTCCCGGGACAGACAGACTGCTGTCATTTGTCAGACCATCTTCGCCGGGAAGGACGACTACGGTTAAACTTACCTCTGATTCGATTGAGCCGACGCGACGCATCGTATCAACATTTTTGCAATTTATTTTACCTACGCTTCTACGCTCCCGCTTAATCTACGGAAGAAAAAGCGACGGGGGGATTTTCTTTTTAGAGTGAAACAGATTTGTACGTCGAACGCGAATTTGTTCTGCTCGATGGCGACGTTTACCGAACGCGTGCACGGAAATTTCTAACGACGATGACGGATCTTACGAGAGGAATAGATTTTTAAAAAGTTCTACCAAAAATATAAATATAATTTTCAATTGAAATGTTATTAACTACTTTGGACATCAACACATATGTATATGCTAGTGTATTTGAAGAAGTTTTTACCCTCCCAATTAGTCGAAATATACGAGGCGAAATTTAAACTCACGTATTTCGAACGCTGCAGACAGTCACTGTATTGGAAATTTTGACAGCTCTTCTTGAATGACTTGAAAGAATCTTTTTATAAAAATATAATATTATGTACAATACAACGCTGTCCATCAGCTTGTCAATATCTGTAAGACATCCTAAAATTATTTCCACTGATTTTGTTTCTCACTCGATTTCGCTGTTAATTATTTTCGTCTCTGACATATACCAAGTGGAGCGAACCTGAAATAAATAATATCGCTCAACTCCCGGAATACGATTCCAATTTGAAAAGCAACACTGTACCGATTTTTAATATACTTCTATTTCCTATTGAGAACAATAAACCGAAGAGACCGTAGGAAACTGGCTCTCCTCGGAATAAATTTATATAATATTTACAAAGTAAAAAATTCTGGTATCCGATATCGTTACGAGTCAGATCAACAGAAATTACACGAGATATTCCACCATTTGCACTTAAACGTAACACCCTGTATAATACCACAGATAATAAGTGATCTAATCTTAGGAAATAGAGCGAGAATTGTGATTGAATTATCTTGGTTGTAACAACATGCATATCTCCGATAGATTGTAAGAAAAGGAAAGCCGGTGCTTGGGACCGAAAATAAGAAGGAAACCATTCTCGTATTCGTCATAGCATCCGAGCTGTTGTTGGCATTGAAAAATCCGGCTCTCGAAAATCTTTCCCGCGCACGTGCGCATTCGCACGCTCGTAGTGCATTCCCTGAGCGTAGTTTTCCGAGGGATAGGGAAAACAGCCGTTGGGCGAGACACATCGATAGAAAATACACAGTCGAATCAAGATAAAGTGGATGTGAAGGTAGGCAGACGGCTGCGTTTGGATAAAAACGATATCGATGTCCGTGTAAAATGTAATCCGGCCGTGCGATGCGGCCACGAGCCTTACGGGTTTGTGTGCATAGCTCTGTGTAAAACTGACAGTCGAAAACAAAAATGAAACGAACATCGTTCGGTCCAAAAATTACGAAACCATCAAAACAACATCGACGTTTCAATGCACATGTTCGTTCGCTCTTTTAGATTTTCATCTAGAGCACCTGTAAGTTAGAAATTAAAAAGAGGACACTGAATTTTAGACTTATTTTCTTTTTAGAAAGGAGAAGAATTCACGCCGCGAACGTTATCTTCTAAAGCAGAGCGTTTCCCCGGTAAACACAATCGAGCGTTCTATCACTTCCACTTACAAAATGAAATTTACCATCTCGTTTAATGCTAAAACAAAAATCCGCGTCGACGAGAACCGGGGAAAGTTCGATTCGATGCGACGCGACGGTTCGAGAATCTCGGCAAAACAGGACAAAGGGGGATAAAAGGTATTCGCATTTTCAAGCCAGACCGACCATGGTTTTAAAACCTCAGGACACCCTGTATATGCAAATGTGAACATGCGCGAGTTTCTACGGTAAACTTTCCTATCTGCAAGTCCCAGTATGCGTGTGCGCCTTATCTCGGATTTCGTTCGGACTTTACAGCAGCCGCGTAGTCCGCGCTAGGGGGGAAAGAAAAGAGCGAAACGGTCGTTTTTTCGGTCGCGAAATCGACCATGGGAACCCCATGCATTTCTGATGAACGTTCGCTGCGAGAAAGCTATCCTGCCGCGTTTTAAGTCGCCCTTGGATCGAACCACGATAGCGATCTCGGTTTAATGAAAATCCGGGAATGCGAAAACAATTCGACCGCTGCGCCACGTTCTCGGCGTTTCCCGGAATTTTGCGCATCGATTACGCCCCCGCGCAAGCTTTTCCAGCTTGAGGATCCGCGTTATCGCCACTTTTCTTTGCATATCTCCGGTAATCTTCGCGCACGAGCTGCTGATCGTTAAAGGACTTTTCTGGCTTGCTGTACGAACAAATCATCAGAAGTTCATACGTCGACAAAGATCTTTCGTGTTCCCTTGATTCTTGGCGTTTATCAGCGACACGCGTTGCTCGCGGGAACATCGAAATCCGATTTCTCAAGTAACAAGGTTCCTCGTCACGTCAAGCGACATGTTCGCACGGGAAATATTTCGCACACTCGATTGCTTATTGCTTCCGTAACGGCGATATTTTCACGAGGATACGGTGAACCTTGGCGAGACGTAGCCAGGTCCGCCTTGTCGCGAGGCTTGCTATCCGACGCGGAAAATTGACATAAACTGTTGCTCCTGTTGCTACTATACGCGTCTCTCTGTTCAAAGCGCCGCGTTCCATCGCACGGAACAGAGACTTTCACTGCTTGGCGCATTCTCGACGCGAGCGCAGCTTTTCATACTTACTAAATACCGTCTACGCTCGCGAGCAGTTCACCATGATGCAACGGAGCTTTTTGGATAGCAACGACGCGTTTATAATCACCTGTTCAGGTAGGACGACGATTGTTCGCGATTGTTCGCGATTGTTCGTTTCCTTTGTGAGGCGAAGAGGCTGAAGAATCTCCTAAATACAGAGTGTAGTGGTTCGTTCTTCGTCCTTTGTATCATAAAACTATGATAAATAGATCAGACCGTTGACATGACAATATATGTATGTGGCACTTAATTTATAATTTCTTGTAGAAATAGCACGCAAAATTATAAACGACGAAAGTGTAAATAACTGCTAATTCGAAAAGTTAATCTTTCCCGTAGGTGCTATAATTTCTAAGGAGACACACTATTCCTTCCATGAGTGATAAATCCTGGCTGAGTAGAACCAGATGTGGTAAGTCAGCGATTTCTTGCAGTAACGCCGACGCAAAAAACTTCCTCCTCCTCCTCCTCCTCCTCCTCCTCCTCGTTTCTCTGCTTCTTCCTGAATGAACTTTAAATTTAGCGAACAAAGGTAAATTAACATTAAGAAAATTCGACCGCACAGAGTGGAATAATTACAGTGTCGTACGGTATAACGGTACTTGTGTCGTTAATTTGCCAAATTGGTGAACAATGTTTGCTACGTGTAACTTCTTAAAATATTCACCGTTGTTCGATTACTCCATTTACGTGACAGCGTACGAATTCTTTGGCGGTAAACACCTGGCGATTTCGAAGCAACAAAGTCATCGATGTATTTTCCGAATATTGTCAATGGAAGTGAATTGTGTGTCGGACAGACTATGTTCGAGCGATCGGAACATACACGGTGGACAAAAGGGCTAAAATCTGGCGAATACGCCGCACGAGAGTAGACTCAAAATTTGAAATAGCCTCTTTAGCGTTGTTTGCTGTACGAAGTCTGTTATTTGCTTCGTGTACGTCTCTAGGCAGAATGCATTATTAATTGATCCCTGCAACCAAAAATAATTTTTCCAGAATGATTTGAAACTTTTTAATTTCGCTGAAAAATTTCACACCTTCTCGAATTTTTTTCTACAAAGTCCATACGAATAAAAATAATGTTCTCGCTAGGTGCCTCCATTTTCGCGCGTTCACCCAGTTCGCTTCGTCAGGGTATTTCACTGATAATTCGGTCGTTCTCGCGACAGAATTGGGCCGCCGCTCTTCAACAATAACAACTCTTACTTTCAAAACGCTCTTCGAATTTCGAAAGTCCTCGAACACGTCTAATCATCAAATTCGATCGACTACGATGACTTTCAAGAATCGTTGCATAATTAATACATGAACGGGGGGGGGGTGGCACGCGTACCGCGAGCAGGCTCGGGAACGATTTCACGGGTCGACACGCGAAACACGCGATCGCCCAGCCGTGACAGATATTAATTAAAATTCGCGTAGGCCACTCGAGCAGTAATGAAGGGATCTCTCGGTCTTTAATCACCTGAGCGTGTCGCGCTAGAGTCGACGGGCCGAGGGTTGCACAGTTGCACACGTAGGCGTTCGCCAGGAGCACGCTTTTGTGTGCCGGCCGCGTAGTTTCCTCGTTTCAGCTTTTCCATCGTCGCCGTTCGTTTTCGTTTCCTCAAGGCCCTTCCAATTAGCGACACGCGGTAGAGGATATCGCTGCGTCGTCGCGCGTCACGTTCCGGTTGTTCGGAGCTCTTAGCGATTTCCGGCGGATCCGGCGGATCCGGAGCCTCGCGAGGAGGCCCAGCGTTCCTCGAGCACCCTTCTCTCGGTCGCTTTGACCGCTTTTCTGACGCTCGTTAATCCGAACGACACTCGATACTCGGGCATCGTACTAATTATCACGCGTCGAACGCGCCTCGAGACGGTCTACTTTCCTGCGTAATTAATACTTCGGGCCCCGAGGCTCCATAACGAGACCTAGAAGATTCTTGCTTGCATTACGCTTGCAACGACAATTGTCGATGATACGCGACGGTAAGAGTCCGTATTCGCTCTTCTTTCCTGATAATAGTGAATTTTAATAGATTTCTTTATTTACTAGCAAAGGATGTAATCTTAAAAGAGGTTGAAACTGTTCTGTTTATTAAATTTTAATAATTTCGACGCGTTCAACGACTGTGTATTTCTCTAAAATGATTTGTAAAGCACTGCCGAATACAGATATCTCGTGATTCGAACTAGCGAATAACAAATATGGCAGCTATGGCAATTGAAAGTTCTATAGCTCTTATTGGAAAACTCTGTATCTCGCTTGATCTTCGATCAGAGAGGTTGTTTGATCGATCGGATGGTTGTCCCGTTCGTGGACGAAATTGTTTTGGAAACATTTGCACAGAATGTGTCGGGACGGGAAATCCCTTTGCGGATGAAGCACAGTGAGATATTTTAACAATTCAGCGGGACAAAATTATTGCAACAAAGGAATACTACTTTTAATTGGTTTTATAGATTTTTCTATTTGCTGATAAAGGAGGTAATCTTTGGATGATAACATCGTTTGACAAATACGCGCTTTCAAACACTGGAGAAATTTATTTTAGAAAAGTACCTAAATGTTTTATGGGATATTTAATGCGATCGGCACGACGTAAGGTTTCGGTTTGATTTGGGTTGCTTTGTGTTTTATTTAGCAAGTTAGTATATCTATACTACATATGTAAACTTAAACCAAACCTAAATCAAATTTGACCCAAATCAAACCCAAACCTATTTAATTGCTAGCCGACACAACAGCTATGTCTGGTTGTTGGAAGTTCTAATTGTCCTATAATTTTGTTTACATGACGAAGGATACAAACGCGCAGTGGTGAATCATAGAATGAACTTTGTTGGTTCAGACAGCGGTGCTCATCATAAAATGTAAAACGACGAAGTATTCAGAGAAAATTCGGAATTTCAACGCGCGAACTCTAACCATCGACCAACAACAATAACCAAAATGGAACGGTACGGAAACGTCAGTGGGTAAAATTACGGAAGCTCAGCGTCAATCTTCGGCCGTATAAATTTTAGAACTGTGTTTCGGGTTGCGCGCGGAGGCAACAAACTAGAAATTCATGCACGTGGCACGATAATCTGGGAATACCTGTATCCTTAATGAGTGCTCGAGGCAGGTGTTTCAGGCACTAAGCTCTCGCACGAATCTTTGATTCCACGCTAAAGTTCGTAGTCTTTATGAACTGGGAAAATCAGGATTTGGCAGCGAGGGGGTGGGGTGGAGGGGGGTGGTTGGTGGTGGGTTGAGCCACGCCGCAAGAGATAGGTTGGCGGAGATAGGGGCGGACAGGGTGGTGGTGAGTTCGAAATGTGGTCTCACACAACGGCAGCGTATGTGTAGCTGCACGACTACCAAAGCCTTTCGGGCTCGCAGATAGCAAAGTCGATGGCAGTGGCCCAAAGAGAATTTCCTAGTAGCATACGTCCTGTTCGCTTGGCAACCAGGAGTCACTTGGAGTCACCTTTAAAACTCACCTTTTCCCTCCGTGTTTCTCTATTTTCTTTCCGTTCCATCTATTTGCCTGTATATACACCCGTATAAATCCAGGGTACGCGAGAGCCCCGGAATGTGCGTGCTCCCTTCGCAAAGGGTGACGCCATTGTGTATTTATTTTTATGGACGCTGTTGCGAACAAGTGCCGGTGCGCTTCGCGAATGTGCCGGCATAAAGTAGCATTAAAGTATCGGGCTGTTGGGAAACTTTCCCCGGTGTTATAATTAATAATTCTTCGTTAAGCTGCGGTGAGCTGCATGGAAAAATAGTTAATGCCGCGTCAGGGACACTTAATTATGAGATTTCTTGTTTCGAGCTGTACAACGATGCTCGAAAGTTTCTACCATTCCTCGATCTTTAGAGAAATAAAGCTTTCTCCCGTGCGCGTATCTGTTTCTTCGTTTACTTTTTTCTCTCCAGACGAAGCTTATAAAAATTGTACGTTCTAAATATTTGTTAAATTCCGCGTTGGTATTGATTTTCTAATTAGGAAACGAACCATATTACATTACATAATTTAGCTTATTAAAATTGTTATTCGGACCGATGAATGTTACGTACCGTGAATGATATATCCCGAGCAGTGGTACGATTAACTTAAGGTTCGACATTCGAGGTAGGGAAAAAAGGATGGAAAGTTTGCTGGAGAAGTTGGCGCGCACTGGTTGCGTAGAACGTCTCTCGAACGCGTCTTTGCGTGTCTGCATAGGGTAAGAGGGTTTCGAGAGGGTTGGATTGGAACTACAGGTGAGCAAGGGGGGTGCACGGATCCAGGTGCAATGGTATGGGTCGTTAGCAGAATCGCATTCGAACTCTAAAGTAGTACTCTCTCTCTACGGGAAGAAACTCTTTGGAGTGCGGGGTCTCTTCAGAGGTAACGATCTTTCTCGTTTTTGCTGCTCTGTTTTCCCTCTAGCCCCCCGCGATCCGTATTCCCTGTTCCATCCCTTGAGCCGATATCCCGCGTGTAATCCGTAATAACGTTTGAGAGGCGCACTTTGAGAGGCATTGGAAGCCATGGGATCGGTAGGTAAGTGTACCTCGCAAATCGGCCTCGTGGTTCGTTGAGTATTTGTTGGAGGAACGTTCCAAGGAGTCAGAATCTTACGTATTCGTTTAAGAACTTTTCGATCTCTCGACGTAATTGATAGCGGTGTTAAACAGCGATGGGAATTATATCGAATCGATACTATCGACGACAGTCCGTAAGCTTGATATTTCATAGAAGAATGTCTCAAACTGAGGTAGAGTTTCAATTCTTACGTTTAGTCATTTTAACTTTACTATAAATTTTCGAACGCTCGTATGTTTCTCCATTTGGGATTTTTTGCGAACCATATCATAAGTTTAAAATTGACATTGGTGGTTGTAGAACCGGACACTCTGTATATGAATGGCTTGGTTCATGAAATAATGGTATTCACCGGTAGAAAACGCGATCGCGAATTTCAGGATGGATGAGCCGTTCCGGTCGGATGGGACGGGCATCTCGAAATCCTCCTGTGGATTCGATCAGCTCCCACAAGGGGAACGGTCTGTTACTCGTCAGGGCGGGTTGCGACGAGATGTACCGGCGGTAGACTTGAAAAATTGCATTTTGTATTCAATAACTAGGCTGTCAGGCCGACTAGGTAAGCCCCTATAACTCAAAGCGCATCCGCGCGTCCACGTAGACGTTGTTTCTCGATCGATCGATTTCTTCTCTTCGATCAAACCGCCGTAGGAAATACAACCAGTGACACGCGTCCCGGATGCACCCGTGACGTCGTGATTTCAGAAAGAGAGAAGCCACGCCGTCGACGATCGTCGCGTTCGGTTTGTCAAACCGACTGGTGTGTTCTTTTGGGAATCGACAGCGGCCGACAGCGTTCTCGAACAGACTTTGTCTTTGCGTACGCGTACGCTCGCTGTTTTTTAGACGACCCATCGACCAATGCAATTTTCTTTCTCGTCAAATACCAATTAACCCTCTAAAAATTTAATTACTTACAAGAACGTTCGTTCGAACAGGTCTTGTTCCAACAGCGATCGTGACAGGTTATAGATTTTGTTTCAGGCAATTCACTACTCACACTCTTTAATTAACATTCACGCTCAAAGGCTCTTTGCAATTAATATAATAACCGCAAAGAGAGTTTATATTAATAGTGATTATATTCTCTGTTTCAGTGACCACCGTTCCCGATCCAGAATTCGTTGATAAAATAGGGAATATTACAGTGCCAGCAGGACGTAACGTAAAATTAGCCTGCAGCGTGAAGGATTTGGGTCCATACAAGGTAGGTGAAAGCAATTTCTATATCGTGACTAACTGAATGGAGAAAGCATATCGCCTGTATATTTTCATCGCCGTTTACACGAATCCCGTGTAATGTTAGAAATTTCAACGATATATGTATGGCGTATTTAGTTTATCGTGCCCTGATCCTGATTCTTGTCGTTACTAGATTTCGATCACGCCTTACGAGTCAGGCTCGTTATTCCGGCCCAAATGGTTAACACCCCCCGTCTTTCGTCCTTATTTGTTCCGGAAGATCTGCGAGTTTCGAATCGAGGAACGCGTCAGTTCGTTGCATCTCGATGTATGCTAAGTAAGTGGCAGAAGGCACCCCGCGGAACTTCCTACGGATGCTTCGTCCTGAATACGCGGGCGTCGTTGGATCACGAGATCGAGTCGAAATCGTGAGGCGCTTAGATGAATACGATTCATCAATGAAGGAGCTCGTTAGATTCGAGGCGCGCTCAGGAAGGGTGGAAAGTCTTGCGAACGACGTGAAACATCCTCCAGATTCTTGAACAACTTTCTCAGCTCGTGTATTCGTATCCCAGCGTGGAACAAATTAATTGTTTATCGTTCTAGACTATCAAATTTCGGCAAAAATTTAGGCATCTAATTAGATTTTCGGTAAGGAAAATAATTTTTCCAGGGGTGGCCGAACCTCCTGTATAGAATACGATACAGCGAAATAGGAATACTAATTTTCTTGGCTTGTTTAAAATACGGGGGGTAAGTTTTCTGGAGCACGACACGTATATGTACAATACATACATAAAGTTACATCTTGTTCGGCGCATCGCGTGGAACGTTCCGCAACGCAACAAGCTCGTTACTCTTACGACCAGAGGAACATAATTAAATAACGAGAAGTAAAATAAACCCAGGGGCAAAGTGCTATCTCATTATACGAGTGGGGCGCAAGTACAACCGTTAAAGAACTCGAGGCGAGTCGTTGGAACCTTGTGCCCGAAAGGGAAGAAGAAACATAGTCGAAGGACGGCACAGCCAGCGCAGAGCAGCGGCCAGAAGAAGGCACGGAAGAGGAAAGTTCGTCGGCCACCTGAAATTTTACATCCGCAACGGGTAGGAAGATTGAATTGGCATCTCTTGGACCATCGCCAACTCGTACGTCGGGTAGGGTCGTCGTGTCGTCGTCTTCTTGGCGTTTCTCGAATCTTAAATTGGGAAACCGGTCGCCTCCGTCGACGAGATCTTTCGATGCGGTGGCTTTTCTTCCTCGTCCAAAGTAACCCATGAGTCTTCGAAACTTTAATTCCTTTCGCATGTCGAGAATCGACGGCCATGCAAACACGAACCCACGATAATATTAAAAAATGGAAACTACTGTACGGTGAAAACCGTAAAAGAGCTTCATCGTGCTTGATTGTTTTCTCTTCGATTATTTACAATCGAAGTACGAGCATTGTTAAATAACTCGTTGTACGTTACGTGTACGTTGATATTTACATCACTTCCGTTGTACTGTTTGCCTTGCTATCGAAAATGAATTGGATGTTTCTCTTAAAATAACATTTGTCCGTATGATTGCATTATTACGTTTAAATATCCATTTATTATGCTTCATTAAGTTTACAATTTTAACAAAACTTTTACAATAGAAGCTCTGAAATTGCAGTGATCCCATTCGTCTAATTAAATTCGTGAATAACAAAAAGGATTCTCTAAAGAAGCGGCCTGATACATGCAAACTTCTACCCCCCTGTTCTTTTTCGGTTCGTTCCTCCCTTAAGGGGTTGAAGGAGCCGCGGAAGGATGAAGATTTCAGTCCCCTCTGCGAGCGCTCGATGCTTTTATCGACACTCGCGGGAAACGTAATGGCGCCATAAAGGCGACAGTTTGTCAACGATCAAAGCGTCGAGTGATTCTATATCGTGGTTTGCGGGTTGTCTCTAGCCGGCAGCCCTTCTTACGAGTCGTAGAGCAACCCCCTAGTGGCCCCTAGTGGCCCCTAGTGGCCCCTAGTGTCCCTTAGTGTCCCGTGGAAGGGCCGAGGCGGGATCGGGCACCGCTAAACACGCACTTAAACCACCTAGCTCGCACCCTCTAGCCGAGATCAACGTTATTACCCTACGATCATCCGGTTCGCCACTCACCGCATCCCGGATCACGCGAATACCGAAAGGGAAGTAATTGCTGTGCCGTTCGCCTCGGCATCGTTACCGAGGTGGCCCGATATTACGGGGGAATATTGTACAGGTTTATTCGCAGTGTACGCGGGGGGCCCCCCGAAATTACATTGCCGCGAATTTTCGGCCCGCGTCGAACCAGAGAGGCTCTACGTCATTTTGTAATCGGAACTAGTCCATCCCCCCTTCCCTTCGCCGCCCCCCTCGCTTTAATCTCGTTTTTTATCCACGGACGCTTTATTAATTTTTAAATCGTCATTCGACCGCGGTTGCTTCACGAGCGCGTTTATGCTCGCTGCAATACAATTTCGTTCGATCCGTTCTCGTCGTCCCTCTGTAGCGACCAATTCTTTTTCCCTTCCATCGTTTTATAGCCGCGACTCTTTTGCGCGGCCGGCATTGTCTCGTCGCGCGATGTTTTCAATGCCGCGCGAAATTTGTTTTCACGGTCCATCGTGTTTATTTGCACTGCGAATTTCGAGCTCTTTTTATTTCCCTAGAAATTTCGTGATAATCTTCTTTCGCGCGGATATAAATCGCGGCTGGTCGGATCGAACGATACATCAGCCGGGAAAGCATCACGCATGACTATGCTCGGTATGTTTTCGAGGTTTTTTTTTTTTTCATTTTGAGCGAAGAGAATCGAGGGAAAAACGAGATACGTAATGGATGGGAACGACAACTATATTGATAATAATGTTCCGTTCGAGAGTGGCGAGCAAAATTTTTTAACTAATTCTTTTTTAACCAAAATTTTGAACCTGGTGATTTGTCATTTTTCATTATCGATAAAGGCACTTCACGTAAACGTATATTAAAATTAAAAAGAAAAATGAAAATGAAAATAAAAGTAATGAGAAGTTGAAGTAGACTGTAGAATTTATTATTCATTTAAACATGTATTCAAATTTTAAAAAAATGAAAGGAGGACAAAATGAAAATGAAAATAAAAATAATGAGAATTTCAAGTAGGTTGTAGAATTTATTATAATAAACCGGGGTTGCATGCGCTCCGCGGGTCATGTGTCTGACACGCCTGGCGTGGACAGACAAACATTAATTCTGTGACAATTAAATTTTGTCTGTATAACGTGCAATTATTTAGTAATTGTTTTATTATGGTCACTTATTGTCAATTTCATGTCCTCCATCGAAATACAATAAAAATTATTAAATGACTCAGGGTTCTATTTGTGATTCGAAATACAGTCCAGTCTACGTGTTAATATCACAAATCGATTTCCATTCGCGAAAGATATTAATCGTACCGCGAGAAAATAATTCGGTGGTCAAAGTTCACGAGCGAAACTAATTTCGATTCGTATGTTTCAATCGCGCGTACGCGATCCGGAATATCTAATGCCCGGATGGCACAATACAGGAAGGTGAGCATCGGAGAATTTAAGTTATGCGCCATAATTCAATTTCTTTCACGAGCTGGCCCGTCTGACGTATCACAAATGGTACCAATAACGTTTAAGCGTCGCCAGAGAAATTCGCGACACTTCGCCTGAATCGATACCGCGTCGGGTATTTTGCGAATCTCCTCGTTTATTCGTTCCCCCGCTGCGGTGAAAATTGTCGCCGGGAAGGCGTCTGCGAGTCGAGATACATCGAGCAAGAAAAATACCATTTAAAGCGAGATATTAAAATTCCTGATCCTTCCTACCGTCCAAGTCAATACGAAAAGCGGGAAGAGTTAGTCGCAAAGGAATTTCCTTTTAGCCTTATCGGCTGTCGCTGCACAAAATGTCCCGAGGAACGTAATTTCAAAATTCTTCGCCGTTTTCTGCGCCATTCCCGTTAATTTTTTAACACGTTCATTCGCGAACCAATCATTAACGTTACCAAACGCTTTGTATTGCTTTTTTTTATATCGATCTTACTACACGGAACTAAAATTTGAAGCACGATGAAAATTAAAAATTAAAAATGATTGCAGAAATAAAATATTTTTAACCATAATACGCATAGAATAAATATTGACTAAAAAAAGAAAAGCAATAATTTAGTAGTCAATGGGTTAAGGAGAATACAATAACAGTTAATAACACTCGCTTCGTTATCGTTAGGGAATCGCGTGGTATCGGTTGTCAATAGAACGACATTATCGATTTATTTGGTCGTTTCACTTTCCGTTTTCAACGAAACTCTCACCTTTCTCCGCCTCCGAGCTGTTTCGTGGAGAATCTGAGATGGTCTTGCGATCTGCTGTATCAAGTTCTATTCAGATTATTCTCCAATTAATTAGCTCGAACGATTTTTCAAATTGATTCGGTGTGGTTGGACTGGCCGCCGGCAACGCCAAAGTCCCAGTCAACTTCCAAGAGGTTCGTTATCCTCGATTCGCTTCTGCCATTATACAGGAATGGGTAATGAACTGGAGGGTCGGCAGTTGGTTGTCGGTTGTGTTATTAAGATGTTGCCCTGCGTGAATGTCGAACGGACTGACTGTTACGCAGCGATGGGATCAAACGGAATTCAAACGGAGTTAATTCAAACCTAACACTTTGCTGAATTATTCAACGCGTTCGATTCAAAATACGAAGCAATTATTCGTATTTAATATTTCGTGAACGAATATTTAGGTATCCGATACATACTGATATTTATTCTTTATTTATAAATCACTTTCGGTCTTAATTTAGCCCTTATGCCAATGTGAATAATCATATACAATATATTTAATTGGTGTATGGAATACATTTTCGCCTTGAAATCACGAGAGTAACTAAAGGTTTAAATAACGTTACATGTTTGAATAATCCACTCGACCCACAAAAAAGTTCAAACAAGATCAAAGTGAAAGCCTACGAGGAAAATACGTACCTTAATTAAACGCATATCTTTATAC